ATTGGAATAATAATAACATTTAAGATATTGGAAAAGAATTGAGCTCAGTAGTCAAGTCAAAAAAAGAATCGAAATAGGACATACCGGATAGAGTACCGACTTCAAAGAAGAAACCAACCCGGAAACTCGTTCTTTAGCTACTGCTCTCAAGGCTGCCCTTCCCTTCTATTAAACTGGTCTCGTGAATATGAAACTGATATTGCTACCCGGATGGCATTAGTGCTTCTCATTCTTTGACTAGTGCTTCTCATAATGAAATCACTATCACTGTCAACAAGATTGAAGCAACTGCTGGAAAGGTTGAAACCCATACTAAACAGAACCCCGTCCGATTGAACTAGTGCTTCTAACAATGGAACTGGCCGATATGATTACTTTGACTTTGGACTTTGTGGACCGAGCTGTAGTCCTTCTAGCAGTGGGTTCGACCTTATTTGTAGAAGCCACAGGCTCTTTGTTGGTAGGGGAAGTGGACCTTAGCTTAGAGACAGGAACAGCCAGCATTAAAGCAAGTCAGGGGATACAAAAACCAGTGTGGGTCGAGTAATGCTTTGGAAGTACTAGGTTCAGAAGCAAACAGGTAACTATCAGACTCAAGCTTACGTGTCTTGGCGCTTGGCGAGTTCTTTATTCCTCATTTGATTACTATCAATGGAAGTTTTCAATCCTAATTAGTAGTGGTGTCGGTTTAGGAGAGAGCAAGGTAAGACTGATGGATAAGTTAATAAGGCGTGTATTGCTGGGGTTCAATCTCTTGTTTAGTGTATAAGGTTGAATCAATAGAATTGGAATGTAGTTAACGAGCTCCGGGCTCATAGGAAGTCAAGTAACGATCCGGATACTTACTGACTTTAACTGTTTTGACTCTTGTAGTTGTCCCCAGTATTCTTTGGTCTTATTGAGGATTCTGTCAACTCATATTCACTATGATTCTATTGACTTATATGGATATGTGCCCTGTACACAAACTTAGCCTGTTGGGCAGTGTTCCATTCCGATACTTACTACTGACTTTATTGCCTGTTCGATTCCTAAAGTTAGTGGTGTATATATAGAATGAGATACATTGGTTCTCTGATAGTGAGTAGTTCAATCCCTGGTAGCGGTAGTTCGCTTCCTTATTACTTGTGGTTAACCGACTTCTTTAGTGGCTTTTCGAGTATTGGTAGCGAGTTCCTGTTAGCATCATTTTCATCCTAATCAGTAATAGCGCTGGATTCTAATAGTATCTAGCTCGTTTCTGCGCAGTTATCTTGGTTTATGAGAGTTGATCGGAGCCTACACAACCCTATTCTTATCCCGATATTCGAAAGGCAATAAGTAAAGTCAATACAAGAATACAGGATTAGCAGGCTGAGCTACAGAGTGAAGCTACAGAGTATGGCTTAGCAAGCGGATCCGAGTAGTGGGAATGAAAGCAAGGGCAGCTTTAGCTGACAGCGATGCCAAGTAATTAGTAAAAGAAAGCAAGGACTGTATTGTAGGCTTTAGAGCTAGTAGCAGTAGACTTAGCTAGGGATCGGTATACTGATCTGTGGAATCAAGAATTAGCATATGGATTTTCAGAATGGAGCCGGGTAGTGAGTTTGGTGCTATAGTTCCTAGTGACACTCTTTCTGTTATTGTTACTGATGTATTCGACCAAGCAACTAGGCAAGTAACTACTAACGACCAAGCCGACCGCCAAGCAACGACTAGTAGAATGAGTGGAATACCGATCCGAGTTTCATCCGTATTTGTTAACTACCCGGGTATTGAACTAGTATAGAACTATAGTTGTTGACTTTGATCTGGGAAATTGGGCATATCCTCAGTTAGAATAATATCCTAAGTTAGAATAAGAAAGAGAAGGTGCTTGTTGTGTAGCAATGACAGGTAGATAGTTGCCAAGGGAGAAGAAGAAAGAGGTGTTGCATAGAAGTTAGCAGAGAGGAGTTGAATCCAGGGTTTACATCGCTAAGTACTAAAGAATCATGAGCTAGGTATGATAGATATTGGTCAAAAAGGAGGGGAGATCGGTATACCAGTTCAGCCAAGTATATACAAATGTTACGCGTTAGCACGAGAAGGTCACCAAATCCCTGTAAACTGGACGCCGAAGCTATAGCAGTATCAAGAGCCGACAAGCTACTAAGATAGGCCAATACAAGGAAGGAAACACTTGAGATTCGCCCCTACTTACTGAATGGAAATGAAAGCTCGCTACTATAACCCCCGGCTGATGATCCAGCTTTCATAACTGCTGGAGAGTGCCTACCAGTGTATATCACCCAAACTCAGTCACTCAACCACTGCTATCAGGTAAGGGAACGAATAAGGGAACTCTGCCTCTTGCTCTTGCTCCCTAACCTTAATTCCTCATTAGTGAACTTTCTCTATTTCTTTATTTCCTTGTTGTTTCTTGGAAGCCATACTTTTGTAACTCATTTGCACAAGATAAGCACTGTTTCCTTCGTATCAGAAAAAGACCTCTTCGCCCTGCCCTCTCTATCGGCGTAGGAAAGAACGAGCGAGAGAACCCTAATAAAGAAGATAAGATCCAAGATAATCTAAGAGAAGAGCAGAGTGAAAGACCATTAATAGACAAATAAACGTAGAAGACCAATAAGTCACTAACCACTAAGTGAGGAAAGTTAGAAGTCACTAATCACGGAAATACCCTATATTCACTAAGTTCTTAGCCCAACTCCCTCTGACGCGCAACACAAACTAAGGAACGAAATCTGGAATTGTTATAACAAGAGGAAGCGGCTCTGCCGCGCAACATTAGTAGTTGCTTGGCGATTGCTGCCGCACACGGAAAACAGGTTTGTAATAGAAGGAGATTATCTATTTGCATAATTGGACTCGAACTTGACTACTGAAACTTAGGCTTGAACAACTGCTTTTCCACTTAACCGCAGAGGGAGCTATCCTATCCCCGCTCTGTTTAATAGAAACCGGAACTGCTAGAATCAAACCTGTATATATAAGATGGAAATGAAGTGGTTCCCATCGTTCGCTGCCCTCGCATCAAAGCCTATACACTTATGGCGGGCGAGGAAAGCCAACAACTCTATCAATAAGAACTTCCCGAGCATACTACACTTGAACACTCGATGAAACAGACCTCCCGTTATAAGTAAGGCAACTCTCTCCCTCTCGGGATTAAACTAGTAGCTGCTTGTACCCTATTCTTCACGGAAGTAAGTACTGTACGAAGTGCCCTCTAAAAGCCTATAATAATGTAATTTCAAGCGGGTTTGCTATCTTACTAGAAAATCCTTCATTTCAACAAAGAAACTTGCAAACGAATGCATTTTCTCCTAACATCCTTATGGTCGAAGAAAGTCTACATCGACAACTGAATCATAAGTGGAAGTTGGAAGGGCAGGATTAGAGGCTGTGCTAAAGTCATTGTATTGAGAATCAGCAGTGGCGCCGGGGAGAGTAGTTGGCTTGAAGACCAGATTGACATATGAGCTAGTAGAGTTATCGCAGAAGAAGACCAGGTTCCTTAGTTAATAGTAGTTCTGGTTTGATTCTTGAGTTTGATACCAGAATGAGGCTCCTAGGCAACTATGACTTCTTGAAACAATCCCAGCAGCCGGCTACTTAACCGACACAAGAACAGAAGAATCTATTTCTCTACCACTACTTTTGGTTAGTGGGTCTGTAAACCTTTCTTTTGAGTCGTTTAACATAGGGTAAACTTAAAGAATGGCAATTTCCCTATTCAGAACCCTCCAATATGTTCTAGTGCATTTTGTCTAACATCTATCTTACTTTCGATCAGAAGATGATTGATCCGCGCTAAGTTGAGTTCCCCGAACCGAATCTCCTCTGGTATAAAGTGAAGATATGGGGTAGAAATGAATGGTATAAAGTGAAGATATGGGGTAGAAATTCAAGATATTAGACTCAATGCCTACGAACAGCCGTCACAGGGCAGGTGGGCTTTTTAGGTTAGGTGGATTAGCTGTCAAATAAGTGGGAGAGCTGCCCTACCGAGAGAACTCCACTCTTACCGCACAACTACATACAACGTTGCTTGGTCACTGACGCTGATGCCACTTCATCTTGTTGCGCCGAGTCAACCTGCACGGGAATCTTTATTGCCCCTGTATATATGTTCATTAGCTGTTACTTGTATAGTAGTGACTTGGCCCTCACTCAGTGCCCTAAGGTTGGTTAAGAGAAGAGCACGTACGCGAAACAAGTAAACTATATTCTGAAAGGCTGGATAGGAGCACTATTCCTGAGTTCACCTGTATTCACGCGCAGAGCTGTTCATCAGTTAACTTATCTGCTTGTCGGCTTGAAGATCTTTCCCTGGTGTCTCTTTTCAATTGAAGGAATAAATAAAGGCTTTAGACTGCTTTCGAACAAGAAGCGAGGGTATTAAAGTATGGGAAGTCGACAAATGAAGAAGCTAGTTCAGAATAAGTTTCAGGGAGAATAAGCAGGATCTTAATAATGATATTGTCAAGTTGATATCCCATGTGTTACTTATCGAAAGCTACTTGTTTCGGGTGCTATACTTTCATCCTATGGGGAAGAATCGGTGTTCAGTGACTTCATTCTATTAGCAGGGAGGGGCCGGGGAAGAATCTGGATATGAAGCCTAAAGCCCAGAAGCAAAGATGCAACTAAGATAGTAGAGGCGTGGAAGCTAATAGACGGGAGAGGTAGTCTTGCTAGAGTAGTAAGTTATAGGTTGAAACCAAGTAAAGAAAGGCTAAGTGTCAAGTGAAAGTCCAGCTATCGGTTTTTAGTCTGAGAAAAGTGAGGTAGCTCGAGTAGTTCGATCCTACAGTCAGTATAGTTACAGAAAGCAAGTAAGGTGTGTTGAGTGGTAAAAGGGTTCTATCGGTTAAAGAATAAGAGTAAGCTCCAGCGCATCTACTTAATAGAATAATATAATACAGAATCGTGGGGGAGGTTAAGAGAATGAACCTACTGATCAAAGGGATCAACAAGTGAAGGAAGCGCTGCCGCGTAACACAAAGACTTTTGCCTGCAACTACTGAAACCAAGTCTCGCCTTACTGCTTATAAGCTAATCCTCTAACTACTGATTCGAGTCCTTTCTTTCAAGTACTAAATACAGAATGGAGCGAGTGCTTCTAAGACAACAGCTAGTGTCAACAAGACTACGTATATACTTTGTGAGACTATCTGTAATCATAATATAATCTAGGGAATCGGTACCGCTTGTTAATAGAATCAGAATGAACTGCCCATGTAGTCAATCTTACTCCTTTGGTGTAACAACCTTACTTCATAGCTGCCAAGCTCACCTGCAATGCCCCTATGCCCGAGATATAGTATTACTTTCCTGTCTGTATTTCTTATTAATAGAAGTTTCGCTCTTTTACTTAGCGGTATAAGAATGCCGGGACAACCACAAGCCTTAAAGATAGGAAAGGCAGCCTAGCAATTGAGCTATAGCGTCGAGGGCAGTGAGGGAAGTATTTGTTCTGAATTAAGACCCGAGAAGCCGAACACAGGACTTCATAATAACTACAACTAACCATATTCTAGTTGTTTGTTCTTTACGGCTCTTTGCCTTTGTCTGCTTGGCCCCTGCTAGCAGTGTTTTCAATCCATCAGGTAAGTTATCTACCACTTCTTATTGATTTGTATGCTTTTTTAGAATACCACCTCTCCACAAACAAGGGATAGGCTTGGTCTCTCTTGAACACAGACCACCTCCTTTTTCTCCATGTACATCTTTTCACGCACCTCCTTAAAAGGGAAAAGGGTAGTAATTCGTCAACACATACTATCTCTCTCTCTCACATCTCTATGGAAAGTTTGCATGCATGTCCTCTATTCTCTGTCCACCTCTCAGCTGTACCTTGGTTTGAAGTCAGTTTCAGGTGATAATTGAGCCAATGTGTGGAAGAGCATTCCCAGTATGACTTGCCTAGCTAGTGCTTCTAGCGCTGTACTACAATTCCTTTACAGCAAGATTGCTTCTAGCGCTGTACTTTTCATTAATGCTAGTGCTTCCTATAACACAGTACATTATTCAAGCTAGTGCTTTCTAGCTGACAGTACATTACATTATTAATGCTAGTGCTTCTTATCTTACAGTACTTCATTAATGTTGTCAAAAACACTGCATTCAATCTTGCATAGGTAAGGGGTTCCATCTCTATCTGCTGAACGAGGAGCTTTACCCACCCGTAACCCGAAAGGAGGCTTGGAGCATGTTTGCGCCTCTCTCTAGTGCCCATTGATCAAAGTCCTAAGGGAAATAGAATCCCAGGAAACAGAGGCATCAAAGCCAAAGAGCCAGCGGTAGCACTCAATATGTTGTATAAGTTCAGATGCTAGGAAAACATGTTGTATAAGTTCAGATGCTAGGAAAACTCAATGTAGTATAAGCCTTTCCAAACCTCTTCTTCTCTTCCTATCTTTCTCCAATGGATGTGCGGGCGGGGAATAGCATCTGATACGATTTCGCCTTCTCCTAATTTTCTAGTATAGAGATAACCAATCTGACGGGGAGGGAATATGAATGAGATCCACAATGCCTTTATTCCGAACCGACCAAGGCTTCACTGTTATTTAGCCGTCCCATCACTAGCAGTTTAGGTTCAGCCACCGATACTGGTGCAAATAGGTCTATTCCGTCTTATTAGTCCCCTTCTGTCTCTTCCCTTGACTGGGCTCTGAGTCCTGATACCGAATGGTAGGCCCGCTCCACGCGATAAGAAGTCAAACAAGTCTTACTAGAGCCGGCCACTCTCCTGTCAAATCTTCCCATTTACCATTAATCCAAATCTCAATCTTGCTTGCTCTTTGCTTGCTTTCCGCTTGTGTTCTAAAGTGGCGAAGCGCTTCTGAAACAGAACAGCGCTTAGGATTTTCTCGAGTGAGTTTTGTTCCATCTTAGACGAATTCCTTTGCGCTTAGTAAGCTTAGCGGGGATACGGGGCACTATGGTAGGACGTGGCGTGGAGAATTACCTGCATTACGAGAATGGGCTTCATAGTAATTACATGGTTTAGAAAAGAGTCCAGGTACAGTTCCCCTTAGTGCTTTTTCCCTTCTCGCGGCAACAGGAACTCAAATAACTAGTTATTACGGCCGCCAAGTCCAGCTTTAGCCTTCTCGACAAAACCAAGGAGATATTCATGGAATTCCATGAAGGCAGGTGATCCAGGGCGACCGTGTGTTCTCTCCAGGTCGGAGGCAATGGCTTAGTTAATGATTCAGTGGTGAGGTGTTTGTTCATAGAAAGCAAGGCGTCGCTCAACGAGTTAGTTACAGATTATGATGGACTTGGATGCGGAGGAGATGATATCTAGATAGAGTATGTCTAGCTCAGTAAAGAAGAGTACGCGCGGCTTAGGCAGTGTATCGGATCTTCGGGCAACCGGCACATCCTATTCCGATCAACAACTGGGAGGTATGGCTGAGTGGCTTAAGGCATTGGTTTGCTAAATCAACATACAAGAAGATTGTATCATGGGTTCGAATCCCATTTCCTCCGGCACAGAAGTGGAACGGGCGCTAATAAATGCAGAAAAGACACTTTAGGAGAGTGGTTCAGGTAGCTCGGGCAAAGGAAACACTCATCTCACCTTGTGTCAGTGGTTCGAATCAACTTCTAAGCTAACGAAGCACACGCAAATATGAACTATGAGTCCTCTTACTCGCTCGCTCACCGAAACTTCCCGTCATTATTGACTTAGTCTTTCATTGAAGCTAGACTTATTGAACTCCTTAGTCCGATTCATCCGTTTTTCAAAAGATCTATCAAACTCTTTCATTAATGATGGAATAATAGAATAGATATATTTGGGCTTCCTTCAACTTCCATTGTAATTCATTCCGAAACTTCTCCCCCCAAAACAGGACTTACTAATGACTATCTACCAGTACCAGTAGCTTCTGCTTCACCCAGCTTTCCAGGCAAGGACATTCGGGTCTACTTTCCCTTTCCATCTTCTTCTGATTCTGTTACTTCAGCACAATAACCCCCATTTAAGATCTTTCCAAAGCTTCTTCTATTGTAGACAATGCTCGAACTCCCATTTGATTCCTTACCTTAACGCGTGGTGAACCCCTATATCCCTAAGTGGAAGCCACCAAGCAACTACTAGACAAGTCAAAGTCACTTTATGAGCAAGTCTGCCAAGTCTCCGGTGTTATTACAATTTCTGCTTTCGTCATGGCGGTAGGGCTGCTCAGGGTAAACTCATTTAATCTAATGGCAAATTCCCTATCTTGACTTACGTATGAACCGCATGTTCTATGATTTCGGGATTTCTCGTTTGATATGGCAGTATGTATACTAGCGTATTAGGTATATAGGAGTACCTTCTTTTCAGTCATTCTTGATAGACAGATTCCAGCTACCTTTTTAGTGATGACTTGGCCCGACTCCATACTGAATTTCTTCTCCAGTCTGATACTCTGCACTAGCTAATATCTGATCTGGTCTATACTAGCTTATATCTTCTCTGGTCCAGGGCTTCTAATATTTAGTATTGGGCGGTTCCACAAGTATAGTGAGTTCGGCAAAAGCACGAGTTTAGTATTATATTCGTACATAAGAGGGTAGGGTAAGAAAGGGAAGCAGTTCTCAAGTCTGGTGGTGGCACTGGATAAGAAGTAGTTTCAAGATCAGATAGATGCCCGGGGGTGAAGAATCGATTACTTTACCTAAACTCTGATAAGAATTAGTCAAGGGAACAAGCTATTACTGAAGAATGGAATTGAAAAGAAAGTAGGAATTGTGAGTCTCTCCTAAAGCAATCGGCGTCAGTTATTACGGGACAAGCAGACAACTAGGTGAATTCTTTAACTACCTGGGTTAAGTCACCAAGTAACTACTAATGACCAAGCCACTACTAACGACCAAGCAACGGCGCGCCAAGGAACTACAAAGGGTCAAGGGAAAATAAGCAAATCTCTTGGGGTGTAGTCAAAGTAGTTTCGTTACGCTAATGTGAGTTTCAGCATTGTATAGAAAAAAAGGGTCATATTATACTTACTTCTTATACTAGAGGTTTAGCAAAGGGAAAGCCAATAACCAATAACAGAAGGGAAAGCCAATCACCGACCTCAAGCCAATAACACCAACCAATAACACAACAATACTTTCCGCGGACTGCTTACTTACTTTCTACTTTGTATATGATCTTGTCGATTCCACTCATTCATTTCACTGACCCTATCCGAGTCAAACAGGTGATCCTCTTCTTGGAGCTGTACCTAATACGGATCTTCTTCTTTGCCCTAGGTTTTTTGTGCCTAAATCCATTCTTTTCTTTCGCCTTAGTGTTTACCTGAGTTTGGCAGTGTTGTTATTCATTTATACCCGGACTTGAAGTAAAGAACTGTCAACTGTAAACCGTACAAAACTATAAGGAGCTACAGCCTTAACATAATGCAAGCGAAGAACCTATCTCGTAGCCAAACACTTGAAAGGATCTGATGTAGCAGACTTTACTGAACTCGAACAGGCAATTCTCTAAGACAACTACGAGAAAGATACTCGTCCTCGTCGCCAACACCAGTAATTGCACTTTCACTGACAACAGCATCTGATCTCTTCTCTTCTTGCCCGAACTCTAGTTTCAACTGAGCTTGTAGTTACTTGTCTAGTAGTTCCTTGGCGGGTCATAGTAAGTGGTGCCTGTCCCTGTGCTCTGAACCAACCTCCCAGTGCTCCCCACTTACTGAAATTATGAAATCCAATGCAAAGCAAAGGAAACAACTACCATCAACCCGGTACGTGCTGTTTTAGAGTGTTGAGTCAGTCCTGAACCCGTTAGCACAACATCTGATCTGGTCTACTTCCCACTTGCAGAGAAGAAGACAGATTCTACTCTCACTGCAGCTGACTTTAGAATAGAAGTTAGCAGACACGTCAAATAAGAGCACCCACTTCACTGGGGAGGCAAGATAAGAGAGATATTCTTTTTTGAAGGAAGTAACGAGCTGCTTGATTACATTCCTTTGCAACGATATAGGCGGGTGAGAAAGAATAACTGTTTGACTCTTCAACTTGCCCACCTCTCCTTGATTTGGGTAGTTATAGGGATGGATCTAGCGGACCATAATACATAATAGGTGAGGAAGAAAGAGCTTTGTTTAATTGAATGGAATTTGTTTACTACGGTATCGGAGCAATAGAAGGATCCGGTTGTGAGTGTGGAAGAAGTAGTTGCCAGAGAAGAATAGGGTGGAATTGTTGACATAGGTATCGGAGCCAAGCCAGAGTGCAAAGAGCCTCATTCAGTTATAGCAGAGGGAATAATTCCACAACCAGGCAGATGGGACTCAAACTTAACTTGGTAACAACAGGTTATAACATATTAACAGAGTTCCCGCTCATTGCGTCTTTTTTCACTGTGAAACGGACTCTCTTACTTAAGTCTAGGAAAGGTATACTTGTGTTGGTTAACCTTCTTCTACTTCTATCATACCTAGGGTAGGCTGGGGAATTTGCCAGCAGGTATTCTTTATTTCTTATTGAATTCAGAGGGTTCC